GGAGATTTTAACCATACCTGTTTCAGGATCTGAAAAGATTCTATAATTTTTTTTTCCCCATAAAGTCAACAGAAGATTAAGTGTCTGAGAAGATGTGTCCCTTACCGTATATTAAACCTGAAACTTGACAGCATACAAAAATCAAGTCTCTTTAGCTACTAGAAGAATCGCTTACCAGAGGAAACACCTGCTATCTTGTGCTGATGTCTGAAAAAAATAATTATTAGGAACTTCAATCTTCCTCATTTCTCTTAAGCAGTCCATCAGCAACCCCCCTGTGGGCCTTTCTCATTCTGATTAAAACATGCAAGAATGTTTTTACATGATACGATAAAGAGACATGGTTCTCTTCGCAATGAAGGAAAAGGTCCTGATAAAGGAGCAAACCACATTAAACAGCCAGGACTACCATTCAGTGATGAAACTGTAAGCTAGTACCTCCAGTAACTGGAAAATCAAATGTACCACCACACCTGCCGTTGCATCTAGCAATACTATGGCCAAAAATAAAAGTACTACTGATCATTTCTTATTCTGTCTTCTAGACTACTGATAACTAAAAGCACTGTCCAGAGACATGGAATAGACTTAAACACAGAACCAAGGCTTTAAAATAACAGATGCTGATTTTAAATTCTGATGCTTTGAAAATCGATTTAAGGAGGCAGAGAGCCTGAGATTTTGGTAATCACCAGGAGAAGTCCTCTGGCTATTTGCTGCCATAAGCAAACACCAATAAACAATAGCAGGATAAGGCTGATGACATTGTAAATAAGGCCTGGATCCCGTGCTTCAACAGCTGAGACTCCAGGGAAGCTGGAAATGGATGTCCTGGTGCTTTTCTATTCTAATTATCTCTCTAAAATTACTCAGGGCTCCTGTGGGTCTTGCCAGTCTAATGGTGACTCTGAAACTCACTGTTAAAAATAACCAAATCCCAGTCTGAAGTGTATGTTGCAACATTCTTCAAGTTGCAGAATGGAACAAATATTGATAATTACAAGAACCAAGGTTAAATTTGTGTTAAGGGCTTCACGTTAAGGGCAAGGGCATCCCCCGAGGTAAAAGTTTTACTAAGTCAAAACATCAGTGCAGGTAGTGGATTTGGGACAGACAAGGACCCTATTTGAGAGTTAGTAAGCAATAAACCCCATTTTTATTTGAACAAGAAATCCAATATGAAGATCTTCTTTTCTAGCTTAAATATCTAAATATCCTACTACATATCTAAATATTCCACTAATATCCTACTATCCATCCAATAAAAATGTATTTCTCCCTCCCCCTTTAACTCTGAGGATTTGGAATCCTGTTTAGATTTAGTAGCAGACTGCTAATCTGGCCTTAAGACCTCCATTTAACATCTGCATACAAGAGATGTTAAATTCATGGGAAATCCTGAGTGTTCAATATTCCAAAATGGGAAGAGCTAGTACCACAAAGCAGTGGGTAGAACATACCAGAATGACGGTGCCCAAATTCCAAACCTGACATTTGGGTTTACCTGAAGTTGAACAGAGCACTGCAGCCAGTAGGTACTGCTCCAAGCTCATTCATAACTGGAAACCAAGGCCATGACTCTACAGATCTCTACGTCATCATAGGCAGTTTGTGCAGCCTCCAATGAACCTATGGAGAATATGTCTGCAATCCACAGTAACACCATAAAGGAGAAGGGTCTCTTCAGGATATTCACAATCATCTGGACTCTTATCAGTTACTGACCATAATTTCATCACTGGAATGTTTTTATTAAAATTAACCCTAAGCTGTATTGGGAAAAATACATATCTGATGGCCCTGTCAAAACAATGCCATACATCCTTTTTCATACTTCAAGAGAGATTTTCAAAAAAGATTTTGTCAGTTGAGTTGACATCCTGTATAAATACACTCATTATTTGCCAGAATAAACATATGCAGCATTATTAGCCACAGAGTTTGGGTCACCATTGCTCTCTAATATTGACGGGTATATTCGATGCTTTAAAACCAATTTAAAATGCATTTTCAGAAAATGCTAAATGGATCCATACATAGATTCTGTGGACCACAGAATTTAGGTTGACTATATCATGTATTCATAATACACCTACCACACACATCCTTACTTATTTCACTGCCATCTTGTTTAAAAAAGTCCAGAAAGGATCAGTAAAGTAAAAGCACTGGCCTCACACCTCCCTAAGCAATAGTTTGAAGAATCAGGTTACAGCCCAACTGGGTTGACCCAGAATTATTAGACCATTTTAAAATCTCATGCACAGAATTAATGCATGTATTAAAACCTTTTATATTTGCTTACTATTCAATAATATATCTGAATAATGTATTTCTATCTCTTGATTCAGACTAAATAAGTTTACCATGTATTTCAAAGAAGTGTGTCAGTTGTATTGGTAGCGCTATGTAATACTGCAGACTTCCCAGTGCTGTTCTCTCCAATTCTGAAAAGGGGATTATTGGAATTTTTTTTTCTTAAACAATTATTCACGATCTATTATATATTACTTAAGCTGGTTTCTGCCCTAGTGATCCTCTGTGTTTTTCTGTAAAGCATGATTGTCTGTGCTCAGAACCAATACAAACACTAAAAAATACATTAGGGAAATGAGTAATGGGTACCACAGCAAAATCCATGCAGCAATACACTGCAGCAAGGCTGGAATATTCCAGAGTGCAGCGAGGCAGGAAACTGCTACCAGCAGAGCAAGTTTTCAGTCATCTGAATTCTACCAGCTTATTGCTTGAATGGCCTGTAAACAAGGAGAAATCAATACAGTACAGGTGCATGCATGCAGGTCATGAGATGCAAATAGTGTGTGCACAAGGTTTCCCAGATGATTGGAATCACCTCACTAAGTCTGTTTCTCCAGGGATTTCCATTTTTCACATAATGAGGAGCTCATTGCCAGCTAAAACAGAGACTAAATATAATTGGTGAAAGATGTTTCTTCTTTAATGATAGTAGTCTTTCTAATTCCAGTAATAAGGAGGACAATTACATAGTAATGTTAGAAAATGAAAGAAATCCATTTCTGATAAAAGAAAATTTCAGCCCTGTTTAACACAGTTTCTATTCTGACTATTCAGATGAAAAGTGTATTTACTCTTCTTCATATTGCACGTATACATTACATTGCCTATTTCATCTGCCTCATTTTCCTAATTAAATTTCCTTCAAGCTGCGTTCCTGCAGTTGTAGGTGGGAATACAGTATTAAAGGCTAACATAGCAAGTAGACTAATTTTACAGCCACAACAGATCTCAAATCTGTATAACTCATACTAGAAAAAAAAAAATTACACTGGCATTCTACATTACATGCTGAAAAATGAGTGCTAAAATTAAGAAAAATGTTGAGGTACACTGAAATATTTTCAAATATTATTACACTTTTGTAAAATTTCAAGAATAGGCACATTGCATTTGCCCAGCCTATATAAATACTACTCATACATTTAATGTATTTTTGAGAGGAAATCTAAACACAGGTCTCAATTCTCCAAGTTTATTTGGTTTTGGGGGCCAGGGATTTTGTTTTGTACTTCATCATTTAAATAGCAGAAGCTGTAGAATCGTTGGTGTCAAATACACAGGGAGAACTCTGAACAGAAGATAAGG